CCCCCGTAGCGTGCCCGCCAATGGCAACGCGTCTTTCTCTGTCCGCCGGAACTACCCTGCGAGGTGCTGGGGGGCGGAGAACAGTGACCTCACAGCGCAAGGGCGATTGGCTCTACCGCCTTTTGCCCCGCCCTGATTGGACAGCGCTGGTTCCGATTGGCTGGTTTAAAAAGCGGGCATGGCAGCGGCTGCCCGGCCATGGAGGCTGTGAAGTGCCCGGTCCACGGTGAGGGGAGTCTGGAGTGCGGCGGGAGTGTCCTGGAGGTGGGGGCTCGTCTGACCTGTTACCCTCTTCTCCCTGCAGGATCCCTGTGCCTCCTGAAGACGGGCCTCCGCGATGGCCCCAACCAGGGGAAGAGCTTCTACGTGTGCGGAGCGCAGGGCCCGGCCACTTGCGCCTTCGTCCTCCCGGCGCCGTGAGTAGGGGTGGGCGGGACACACATGCGGCTGTTTTGAGGGAAGTTCAGTGCTATGTCGGCAGTCCTCAACTTTCATTGCCTTAGTCACGTAGTCTTTGAGAAGACTCTCCAAGTTATTTTATCCCAAGTAATTGTTTTTGCTGTTGCCTGGGCCGCTTGTCTTGCCTTGATTCTTCCTCTTTTCAGTATTCCTGCTTCCCACTGCTTGATCCATGAGGGCTGCGTGGTGGAGCTGCAAATCCTGGTTCAGCAGGAGGACAACGATGAATACCAGTAAGTTCCTCAAAGTGGAAACAAAGGTTTGTTGCACAGGCTCGAACATCTGGAATTGCTTGATGGTGGCTGACTTGCAGTTTTCTTCCGGAATTAAAAAGGTTCACCCAGCCTTGAGGCATTCACTTAGCGTGTTTGCTATTTTTATTAGGAATTACATTTCATAGTATAACAAGTGATCAGATAATGGTGGGTTTTTTTAACATAATTGAGTGTGGCTCTGTGATTGGATTCATCCAAGATTCCTGATGGTTGCATTGAATTCACCAGTTTTAACCCTGATAAAGTACTTGCAGAAGTCCTTAAAAAAAAAAATCACATCCAGAGCTTTTCTGTTCCTGAGGTGCTTTAAAGATGAGGTGGCCTGTGCAGTTTAACTACAGGAATACCTGTTTCCTTAACACCTTGGAATCATAGGAGGCTTCTGAGGCTCAGAACATAGACAGTATTTTTACCTGAGCGTTTTTTTGTTTTCCCTAAAATTAAAAACCAAACAACCCCAAGCTCTAGGAATCTTTATCCAGAGAACAGTGCTTTTGTAAAAAGCTTTGTTGCCAGTGTTCATGGCCTTTTGCTATGCAGAAGTCTGGGTGTAAAGTGCAGATCAATAGAACTTGTCTGTGATGTTTTTTGGTGCAAAGTACTTTTTAAAGAACACTTAGAGTTCCTTTACTGGTTCCTGCAGTTCAAATCTGGTTTTATTCTTTGGTAGGTTGTTTTACCGATGCCTTAAAAGTAAGACCAATGGGAAGAGATGGTGTGGAAGTGTCCCATGGCGGGTATGAATGTTTTATTTATATTAGAGTATCAGCTTATTCCAGTATGACTTTTCATTTTGTATGCTGTAATTACCTCTGAGACTACATAGTGGGAGAGTGTGTTTTTTCTAGCAGAAAAACCTATCAGCCTGTGGTCCTCCAGATGAGACTTATCTTGCTACCAAATTATGTGAGGTAATCACTGTTCTCCAGTTTTAAAAGAAACTTGAGTTTGATCTCTGATCTCTTCTTGAGGGTGATGCTGTTGGGACTTGATCCCCCAAAAAATGGGAATGGCAAAGAAAGCAGAAAATGAGCAGTTTTGTTTTGTCACAAAATGTTTATGCTGATCCTGTTAAAATGATAGGTAAGATGTGTTTGTAGGGAATCAAGTCTTGCTTGAGATGATCAGGTTGTGTGTATAGTGAGCCCGCTTTAATAATTTGTATATTGGCATTTACACACTTGTATATATTGCAGGATCCAAAAGCTACCGAAGTGTCAAAAGCCTTAGAATTCCAGCCCAAGACAGCACCTCTCCTCAATCCCAGCAACCAAAGAAATCCATTCAAAGTGATAGACAAGAATTGTGAACCATCGTCCTGGAAACAAATTAAGCAAAGAAATGGAGAGGGAGGTAAAGCAAAAGAAGTAAAAACAGAGAAAGAGGTCATGCTAGTGTCACATAAAGAAGAGAAATCAACCTCTCATTCCTCAATAGAGAAAGAACCTCCAGAAGGGCTGAAAACTAAAAAGAAACAGCCCACAGGAAATAGGAGTGATCCCGAACATAAGGAGAGCACAGTGTCTGAATCTAAACTTGGTCCTTCTGAGACTTGGGAAGGGAAAAGCACCTTTTGGGAGGAGGAGAAACACGGTGGCAGTGGCAGGGAATCCAAGAAGTCTTATGAGCTTGTGGAGAAAGAGCCAGACCAGAGGGCAGAGCTGTGTTTTGGAAAGCAAAGTACCAAGCCTCTGGAGGAGGAGCAGCTTGGAGAGGAAAGCTTAAAAAGCTGTGGGAATAAAGAAATCGGAGAGAAAGAATACAGCGGGCAGAAGAATGGAGAAACAAAAGCTTTGTCTAAAGAAGATGCAGTTTCCCCAGCAGTACCACAATCAGCATTGCAATGTGCTGCCCCGAGGGCAGGGGCAGCACTGCCCAAGGCACAGTCCAGGCCAGGGCTGGGACAGCCTGCTGACAGAATCTCTGGCGCTGACAGTAATGAAGCAGGATTTGTTTATCCCTCATCAGGTCAAAGTAAACCTGAGAATTCAGTTGAGGGTTTGCAGTCAAAAGACATTCCTTTGGGAAAATCAGGAAAGAATGTGCAAGTAACATCTTTGCCAGGAGCTGCAGCATTGCATCATGTGGAAGGACCCCAGGACCCAAAAGCTCTTCACAACCATCTTGTAGTCCAGCTGAAGCAGAAGAAGGTAATTTATTGCATCTGTTGTTTTTTGTTTTGGTGTTTTTTTTTGTTTTGTTTTGTGTTCAGGGTGACTTTGCTTATTTGTGACAGACATCAGAATATGGTATCCCCTCACAATAGAAACTCAAAGTATTTGGATGGTTTAGGAAGATGGGGCAATTCAGCCTAGGCACAGGCTGGTGGTTTTAAGCCGCTTATTAGACAATTATCCCTAAGGTAATACAACCTTCTGTGTTTTGGAGGTGCTCAGTGTTCACCTACCTGAGGTGGTGTGTCTTTTTTTTACCCAGAAAGTATTTTGTGTAAGATGGAACAATGCACAGCCAGCTTAACCTTTTTAAATAATGTGGCTGTTTCTGGTGTCTTTCTCGGCTTTGTGGAGGAAGAGTGGTCTGGCCATGAAAGCTCACACTAAGATGAAATAAACTACCGTCTGCTTTTTCTAATATTCCATAGTTTTTGTTACAAAACCCCCTGTTTTCCTAGACCTCAGAACAGAACCTTGAAATAAACAGTCAGAACTGTCATTACTGCTAGTATAGAAAGAAACTCACAAGTAGGTTGAACGTTGGGGTACTTTGAGGGGTAAGTTTTTTCCAAGTCATTTGACTATCTGTTTCATAAAAAGGGGGTGGTCCTGCATCCTTCCCTCTCCTCTAAAACATACTAATGGCTAGTTTAGTTTCTGCTAAAAGACTATTTAATCGCACCGAATGGCACTTAAATCCTTTTGGAGATAGTAGAACAATATCAAAATACAAATTACTATGCCATAAGATTAGTGGTTTTAAACTTGTGACCTGATTGTTGGCAGAGAGCTTGGTAAGCATGCTCAAGTTTTGGATCCTGTTTTGTTTTGCAGAGTACGTTGGCTACAGTGAACATTCAGCTGCTGCCAGATAAAGGGGAACGGTTATTAAAGCAAGTGCAGGATTTGGAAGCTGCTCTCAGTGCTCTTGACATTTCGATGGCAGATACCACTGAAAAAGGTAGGGCTAAATTTTTTTTTTTTTTTACGCTCAGAACTTTGCAAAACAGTTTGTTCTGCTGTAGTTGTTAATATTGAGAAGCACAGCATTAACTTTTATATGGCATGTGGTCTATATAAAGTGTTTCTGTTGAGATTCACTGAAGATGAAAAGCTGGTTGCAAAGTGTGTGTCTGGGAGGATGAATGGAACAACTCAAACGTTTCCTCTGAAGTATGATGGCTTCCCAAGAGAGTTTCTTCCCACAGTTAGGACCCCGGGCTAGTTCTGTTTCCAGCTTTGGCTACGTGATTGTGGCAGGTGTGTCTGAGAAGTTGCCAGTGAAGTGTTGCCGTAGGGAACCATGCTGCTGGTGCATGTTTTGGCTGCTGTGTCTGATAAGCAGCTTCCAGTGTGACATTCCCATAAAGCAATTTCCTAATTTTATTAACTAGTATTAATCACGAATGGAAGAGAGGCATTTTGTTGAGTTACCTGTATGATCACCTCAACAGGAGAGTTACTTTGTGGTTATAATATCAATTGTGTTGATGAAAAGATCCAGTTTGACTACTCTGGATCTGAAGATCTCTAGCAAGGAAGCAATAACTCACAGGCCACCACACCACAAGCAGTTTCAAAGTTCTATATCGTATCTGCTTTTAAGCAAAGCAGACCTTTCCAGGAAGGAGAGAAGACCTCACGAGTGCTTGGATGTTTTGATAGTTTTTGTGACCAAAACATTGACAAGAAATATGTCTTTAAGAGGAAGAAATCCTCTGGGAACAATGTACAGAATTGACCTTGTGTTTGCACTTATCTGATCACAATTGCAGAGTTCACTGTGTTGGTATCAACCACACGTTGAGGCTTGGCCTGACCTGCACTGCCTGTCACGTAGGAGCAAGCTAAGAGCATGTATGTCAGTAGTTGCAGCAGCTTAGGTGATCTGGGAACCTGCCACGCTGCTGATAAATCCGTGTGACTGCTTTAATAATATTTTGCAAGCAGACTATTGGGCAAAACAAAGGCCTTTCTCTGGGCTGTAACGCCAAGCTCTGAGGTCCACTGTGCAGCCCTTTCAACCTGTAATTCCTTTCTTCTTAAGGGGAGGGTGGCACAAGCAGTGGCTACTGTGAGGAGTCTTTGCCAAACCCATTTGGCAGGCCCGGTGGTTCGAAGTTGATAACACCACTCCAGGGTCCTACAGCAAGCACCTCTTCAGCCTCACACACTCACCCCACTGCTGCTGCTACTTCGGGTTCCAGTGAATGTTACGGCCACAGTTTTGGAAGTAAGTACAGAAAGGCTTTTTTTTTTTTTATTAAAGAGAACACTGGTGAGGGCTATTTCTGAAATAATCCTGCAGCTTGTGGATATACGTGAATTCTAAACTTTTTTGTTACTGTGAACTGCATACTACCCCCCAGGCGTCTGCAGCCACTGAGATCAGTCTCTGAGATGAAAAAATCTATTTGGGAAAGCTAGCTTTGTAAACATGTCTCATGCATAATGCTCTATCTTTCCAGTGAACTTTGCTGTGCAGAATCTATATGGAGGACGAATGACAGAAGACCGAATCAGGGCGGTACACAGTCACATAAGTGAGGCTGTTAATCATCTTCACAAATCTCTAGAATCCTGCCCAACAGAGCAAGCAGCAGCTGAAGATCCCTCTGGATTGAAGGTGAGTTGCCAGGGGTGGAGGATGTCACGCTGATGAATGAAGTGTAACATCTGGGTGGTAATACCCTAGAACATCCTGTCCTTTCACGCTTTGAAGTACTTTGCAGTTTTCATCCTGCTGGAAGGAGATGCTCATATTACTTTCCATTCATGAGGGTTGCCTCGGGTTGCCAGTACTGATGTTCTACCCTCTTGCTGTGGTGTCTTCTGAATATTTAGTGCTTGAATGTAGTAGTAGTGTCTCAGACAAAGCAACCAACCCACAACTATTTGTACGTGACTGGCAGAACAGAGGCAGGTTTCTAGTGAGGAACAGAGAGAGAACCATCTTATTGTTGTTCTCTCCCACTTAGGTGCGTGGGAGTGTTGCAGATGATGGAGTTCAGGCAGCTCAACAGGCTCCAGAGTAGTCTGTTCTGATCTGCAGCTCTTTATCAGGTGGTGCAGAACCCAGAGCTGAGGTTATGTGCAAGGTATTGGAAGGCACGTGCCTCTACAAGATGGTGTGTTGGTGTATATATGTTGTGTCACTGGTCAGGTCCTCTTGGGACCTTTTCAGTGCTGGGGAAGGTCATTTAATATTACTATGTTAGTATGTCATCCCTCTTCCTGTCTTTTTAAGAATCTGTAGGGGTCTTAGACTTGGTGAGAAAAGGGCAAGTGTTCTCAATCCCTCTCCTCAACAGTGATGCCTGTTGTGAGCAAGGGAGGTTTGGGTGGGTTTTCCACCTGGACAAGCTGCCTTTCCACGCTCTGGGAGCACTGTGAGGCACAAGTTGGTTTGTGCGTAAAACATTAATTACCAAGACTGATCTATTGTGCTGCTGACCTCCCGTATGCAGGAGCTGCTTATCTTGGGTATCCCTGTCCATGTGGGAAAAGAACACATGGGCAAGCTCCTTTTAGTAAGGTTGTAGTAGGACAGTTCAACTGGATAGCTTGGTACAGGAAGCAGAAGTGTCTGAACTTTGCAAGGTGTTTCCTTCAGTTCCCCTGTCTTGCCCTCTCAGGTTCCACTGCTGCTGCACCAAAAACAGGCGCTTGCGTGGCTACTCTGGAGAGAGAGTCAGAGGCCGTGTGGAGGAATTCTGGGTAAGCAGCATAACAGGAAAGTGGGTTTTGTGGGCAGATTTATGGCAGAAACATAACTTTGGCATACAACTTACTCAAGAGACCAGTAACTAGTTATTTTGTAGGCATGTTGAACCTGAAATGGTCATGTGTGTATTTTTATTTCCTGAGTTTCCCAGGGCAATTTCTGTTACCTCAGTGTAGATTTGAACTAGGGAACTCATTTCTGCATGTTATCACAACTTCTGCGTGTCTTTTTCCAGCGGATGACATGGGCTTGGGGAAGACTCTAACGATGATTGCTCTCATTCTGGCCCAGAAGCAGCTGAAGACAGAGAAAAGAAAAGAGAAGTTAGAAATATGGCTGTCCAAAAATGGTAGGGAATTGTTTCCATCATACAGTACATACATTGTGATGCAGTGCTGTTTGAAATGCCTGAAGCATTATAGGTTAATGGCTCATAAACCAACAGGCTCTATCTGTGCTTGCTTCCCTTCTGTAGGAAAATTCCATTGGGCTTCATGTTTACTGCACGCCCTTGCAAGGCCCTTTTGATCAGTGTAATTTGTTCTTCTGTTGGATATGTAGGATTTCCCAACTCATTACTTCATACTGGTTTGGGGTTTATTTTGTTTATTGATTAGTTTCATAAAGCAGTTAAAGCCAGCACATGCTGTTTGGAAATAAGTTTCATCATTTTTTCAACATGTGCAAACCATACGCATAGTTTTCATAGCATAAGGACTTAAATTAGTTATTACCTCCCTGAGACTGATTTTTTTGTTTTTTCTTCCCCCATAAGATTACTTTTATCTTGTTTATAGAGATAAGGGATGTCAGAGGTTTTTAAAGAGTATTGTTTCTGTGTCTACAACTTGCTACTGTCACCATCCTCATGGAACTCGTTGGAATACTTTTCCTGTCTTGCCAAGTTTACTGACTGTGTGTGGTTTTCCTATGTGGTTCAAAATGGTAACATTGCAGTCTTCAAGAACAGGAAAGAAGAGTTTATTTGGTACTGTATTCTCAGGTGAGATCAAGGTTAGTTCCTGAATTCTAACCTTTCAGCTTATCCAGAAGAAGTGCACAGATAGATATGTAGCATAACTCTGAGTGGACAGGAAGTGATGCATTAGTGTTAAGTAGAGTTTTTTTCCACCCAGAATTAAGAGTTCCCAAGATGCAGCGTAGAGATGTCCATTTCAGAAACTGTGCTCACAGAACAAGTGAACCAATCTTTGTTCTGAAATTCCTTTATTGTAGTCTAATGTGAAAAGTGCCTGAAATATTTCCCTTGCAGTTTCCACTGTTATTGCTTCCCATGGCACTCTAATCGTTTGTCCTGCATCCTTGATCCATCACTGGAAGAAAGAGATTGACAGACGTGTGTACTGTGGCAAACTCCGGGTCTATTTATACCATGGGTCCAACAGAGAGAGACATGCAGAGGCGTAAGTGCTAAACCATAAATACCACCAAGAAAAGTAAAATACTACTTAGCAAGAGATTGTGTGTCTGAGTTGAAATTCAGTGGCTGTAGAATGATGTAAGAACTTGGAACGTGAAGGATCTAAAAGGTCAGGCTGATGTCTGCTGTCAAGGTGTATGTAGCAAAACCTTTATGGCCTGTACACATGCTGAGTGGTTCAGGTGCAGGCTATTGCTGTTCCCGATAACACAAAAAAAGTGTATATTTTCTAAAACATGTCTTGTTTGCAGAGATTGTCAGTGGCAGTTTCTTCCATGCTTGTGCTTTATGGTGTTTTTTTTTTTTTTTTTAAACAGCTGTATGTATAGATCAGAAAATTTTCTGAACCACTTTAGGCCATGCTGAGCAGTGTCTCCAAGTGCCAGATTCTTAATAGGGTTCATCTCGTGTAGTGTGCATTCTTTACTACTGGCTTTTAATGTTTTCTTGAGCTTGCTGTGTCTACTTCCAACATCCGTAAAATGGGGACAATGTGTCTTTCCTGTCTGCCTGCTATGAAGCTCCATTTTCTGTAGAACTCTGCGTTTCAGCTCTTGTATAAGTGTGTTGTTCTTAAACCTTCAGTGTGCATTTTGTCTGTCTGGCAAAATTAATTCCTCCTTTGTTCTGGCTCCTGATTACTACTTTCTCTTTAAGCAGGCTCTCTGAATATGACGTTGTCATCACAACCTTCAGCCTTCTCACCAAGGAGGTTCCTACAAGGAAAGAGGAGGGGGAAGTCCCTGCCAAGGACCATGATGTGGGGGTGAGAAGCCATACTGTTGACAGAGGATTGCGTTAACGTTTTGTTTATTGACTCAAGTAGCACCTTATGTATGCTGCAGTGAGCAGCAGGTTGAGTGGGTTTGGTTTTTTCCACAAGTCCCCCGTTTGGTTCACACAATAAAAATAAAGTGATGAGTGAAAGTGCTGTGAAGTGCAGAAAGACAATAGGGGAAAATATTCACAATAAATCTGTTCTGTAGTAATATAGATAATGCTACATTAAGTACAGTGGCAATGTCTTTAGAAGTAATTTTAAGAGCGTAATGATGAATCCCATACTCCTCCTTTTGAGGTGAGACTGAAGGAACACTAGAATCTCCTGTGAGGTGTTCTTTGCTGCTTTAAGCACTAACATCACTTTACCCAAAACTTGTCTTGCTCAGGCTCTGGCTCAGTCTGGACTGAGACTGAGGCAGTTTATATGCTGCTTTCTTGAAGAAACAGCAGTGCATTTGCTAGGCTATGAAAATAATAAAGTGATTGCTGAATGCTAAATGATCTTGGCTACACAGTATGAAGGCAGTGCCTTGCTGGTGGATAGTGTTGTCTCCTACCTCTGTGTGCAGATCTAGGTGTAGCTGTCAAAGCAAACAGGCCTTAAAATTTCCTGAAGCATCAAGGTGGCATCTTTAATTACTCTGATCTCTGCAGTTTTATATGAGGTCCTTGGTCCCAGCCTAGCAAAAGTTTACTGATATGAAATGCCTCTTGGGGAAAAAAAAGGTGATAAAATGTTAAAAGCAAGAAAACCAGCAAAAGCTTAGAAATAGTTATTAAGAACAGACAAACATGTTACATCCTTTGGCTTATAAACTTTCATGGAAGCTTTGAAGAGATGATTGTTTTGACAGCATATCCTCCATGACAGTAAGAGCTCAGATTACTGACAACTAATGTTAGGAAAAGGCTTTTTGCCGGAAAAATGTCTGTTTGTGGCTCTTCAGAGAGCCTAGCAAGATTATTGCTCTGGGTTATAAATTATCTGCTTTTTCTTTCAGAGTGGGTCGACTCCTTGTTCCCCACTGCTCAGGGTAGCTTGGGCTCGAGTTATATTGGATGAAGCTCACAATATTAAAAACCCAAAGGTTCAAACCTCCATAGCTGTGTGCAAGCTGAGAGCCAGTGCCAGATGGGCTGTCACTGGGACGCCAATACAGAACAACTTACAGGACATGTACTCTCTCCTGAGGTGAGCTGGCTGCATGTGAATGCATGAGTGGGCATCCAATGCCAGTGATTCTTTGCTGATGAAGTCTTGAAGTTGTTTCTGGGTTTGAGAGGTTTCTAAGGTATGTGGGGTAGTAAGACTAGTTATATTAACACTGCAGGCACTGGATTACTAAGGCATTGTTGAAGGCTGACCCTGTGTCTACTGTCGCATGTATTGCAATATTCTGCTTCCATAGAGGGCAAAGGAGAAACTACTTTGGATCTCCTATGTCTCCAGGATGAATATCCACAAAACCAATTTTAATGAACAGTTTTATGCAGTAATCCTTGTTCCTACCAGGGCAGCCTGGGAAGGCCTTATTAAAGAGTGTTGTGCTACAAGGTCATTGAAGGAAAGGGTGAAAACTTCTCTAAACAATGATAAATGGGTTAAACTCTGTGCTCCTCACTGCTGAGGGGGAAAATATTGTGAAGGATGTTGGAGAACCAGAGAGAACTTTCATTTGAAATTACTTTTGGAGTAAGAGATATGGGATTTTGAAGTAACAAGTGAATACACTTCTTGGCGAGTGCCTCTGTGTCTTGTTGTCCTTCATTTGCTGACAATGTTTGAGACTTAATGAGCTAAGAGGAAGTGATAGGTACAGAATCAGAAAGATGGTTTCACAGTGTTAGTGATTGGCAGGTGTTTGAGCAAAGAAGTTATTGATGCCATTACACTGCAAGTGTTTTAATGCTCCTAGCAGTTACAGCATTTGGAAATTGTTTGGTTTGGATAGCAAGGAATTTGGCTCTGGTCACTCAAGAGTAACGGAAGAACTCTTCTTCCCTTGTTATGAAGTCTCCTTCCTTCCTGTCGTAGGTTTCTACGTTGCTCTCCTTTTGATGAATACAAAGTGTGGAAGTACCAGGTAGATAACAACACAAAGAAGGGAGGAGAGAGATTGAGCCTCTTAACCAGGAGCCTCTTATTACGCAGAACTAAGGACCAGCTGGATTCCACTGGCAAGCCCTTGGTAAGAGCTTCACCCCCCACAACTAGGCAATCATGCTCTTCCTTGCAGCAGCCAGCTAGTTATTTACATGCATAAATTTGTTAATGGGTAGGTTTTCCTGTCTACAGCAGTCACTTGAGCAAGAGAAGCAAATGCCTGTCAGATGATTTGATTGCTTATACAGAAAGCAGTAATTTACAAAACAATTAAACCTTCTAGATATAAATCACATGCAGAGATGTGTATGTCAAGGAATTGCAAGTAGATGTCCACTTAGTGGAAAGCTAGCCTGAGTCTCTGGGCTAGCCTGGATCTCTGAGAATCAAAGATGCTGCATGTTCAAATGGATCTGGTGTGTGCTGGGGCATTGGCTTTCTACATTACTCTTACAAATAGTCCATTAGTAAACTGGTGTGTCTGTAAGCCTTTAAAAGGTGTAGTTCTGTTGTACTGTCTGATTCTGAACTGAGAAGCTACTTTTGCAATGCAATAAATTAATCTCTCCATGGAGTTATGTGGCAGTCCATACTTAGTTGCTCATGCCTTCTGTTACCAGATGATTTGGAATAAAGCTTTTTATCTTGAGCATTAACCAGGCAACTTGGAGTTCTGTGAGTATCCGTGTTGTATCATGGTTGCATTAATACAAATAACTTTGAAAAAACAGCTATCTCCTGAGAATTAAATACTGTGTCAAATCCTGGAACGCTGATGTTTGCTGTATAAGATTTTTGCACCCTATCCATCTGATCCTGTGTATTTTTATTTCAGGTATCTCTGCCCCAGCATAGCACACAGTTGCATCAGTTAAAACTTTCAGCAGAGGAGCAGTCGGTGTACAATGTGCTCTTTGCAAGATCCAGGTATGAATGTGGGTAGATAGGTTATTTTGTGGTTTTGTTTCTTACCACTATGAAAAATTAGAGAAATCCACTTCAGATGAGAAGAGCTTTTAGACAAATTCCTATTAATTTTTTTCCCTGTCAAGCATGTTTGAAAAGACATTGTTTGTTCTGCCAATAGTTGAAACAGATTCATTTATTTTCTCATGTATGTTCATGCTTTGTGTTCTAGCCTTACACTTAATCTCGTTTTCAAGATTCCAAAGACTTGGAATTGCCACAGTAGTTTTTAAATGATGATGCACCAGCATCTGTAAAGGAGAGAATTTATCTTTGCCCTGTGGTTATTTATACAATCGTAAATAACCCTGGCCTCTCCAGATGGCTGTAATGGAAGCCAGCGTCACTTTGTGTTCTCCTAGGGTCTCTTTCAGCATTGTTGCTGTAAAGAGTCTTCCTTCCTTTTAAATATACATTTAAAGATGTCCTTTTGTTATGAAGAATGTGATCCATTAGGCCCTGGCTCATGTTATACTCAAGGTATCCAATAAGCAGACTTGCTTCCTCTTGTGTTTTCCAAAATGGATCTTTGTTTTGATACATTAAACAAAACTGGGGTGTATTGTGATCATTTAGTGACTAAATGATTAGTGAAGGCTTCCTTACCTTAATGCGTTGTCAGTTTGTTTCCTAAGCTTGAGTCCTTCTTGATCTTTTTCCTGAGTCTTGGTCTTGTTTTTCCAGGTCAACCCTGCAGTCCTACCTAAAGAGACAAGAGCAGAAGAATGAAGGCAGACACTACACCGGTGGTAACCCGTTTGAGAAAGGTTTGAGCACACCCTTCCCTGAAAACATTTGCAGAAGTGACTCTTAAATGCACAGTTAAGGAGGGGGAACAGACCTGGCCAATGTGGGGTCAGGACTTAGAAATTCTTTGGAAAATGCTCCCCTCGTGTCAGGAAGAATCCTACCATAGTATTCCAAAAGTCTGTTCTCACTGTCATAGCGCTGGGCAAATATCTTAACCTCCCTGGATCTAAAATTCCCTTCTGAAATAAAGGTCTAATGGCTCAGAGAAGAGATGTCAGTATAAGGTATGTGGTACTCTGATCTGTGTTGTCTTTTTTTAAGTGGGGTTTGATGCATTCCTCTGTTAAATCATGTATTTGTTTGCTCATTGATTCATGTCTCTTATTGGTGAAACTCTTGCTAGGGGTGGTTGGGCAGTGCTTGGAAATGCCTCCGAGAGTTCCTGATGTCTTGTCTTCCTTCCTTGGTAGTTGCACAAGACTTTGGGGTCAGTCAAAAGGAATTTGTAGCAGGCTCCCAAAGTGCCTCCCAGGTCTCAAGTACTGTCCATGTCTTGTCCATGCTGCTGAGGCTCCGTCAGTGCTGCTGCCATCTCTCCTTACTGAAAGTGGTAATTGCATTGTAATGTAGTGGTGTGGGTGTTTTTGTGGGGACTTTATCTCTAAAGTGTTTTTGTGTAAGTTAACACAAAACACTTGTATCTCTTAGCTATGGGTTCACACGTGGACCTCAGCCATTTGTAAGACACTCTGTTTTTGTGCCCAAGAGGTTTTAGATGGGCATACTTCCTACTAAAGAGTTCGCCAGCATGACCAATGTGGGCAGTTGTGTCTCTGGAAATACCTTTACTCAGATTTAAAAAAAAATAGAATTTTAGTGGTAAACAGTCTTGATCTTAACCTAGTCTTGAAAAGTGCAGAAGTCCACAAGTGTAGCCCTTTTCAAAGACTTGTGTGTTGGAGAGCTCTAAGTGCCTTGACTGAAGTTGCCTTACAAGAATCAGACTAATCTTCCAGAGGTTCTTCATTCTGTCATATAAAGCAGCTGTAGAATAAATCCAGATATGAAGGGAACAGGCAGGGATTTATCTCCTAACATCTTTAATCGTGCAGTTGTTAAATGCTGTGGGAGGGGGAATCTGAGGAGACCGGACCACAGAAAACTGCTGAGCTCACGTGCTTTCCCTATGCTGCCCCTTTTTGGGGCAGAATAAGGGGCCAAAGGGACTGTTGGTCTGATGCTGTAGAGTTTCTTAATTGCTGTGTCTTCATATTGCACAGCTTCCTTCAAACCCACTGTCCTCAGCAGGCATCCTGTAGACTGTGGATCAGGACTCAATTTGATCTCAGGTTTGTCTGTGATCCCTTAATACATTTATCGCTTTCTTTCCCACAGGCTCTAGACCAAGTTAACTTGAACAGTGAAGGCCTCTCCCTCTCCATTGAGGAACAACTTAGTGCTTTGACTCTATCTGAGCTCCAGACTCCTGATTCCAGGTCAACAGTCTACCTCAATGGCACAGCTTTTAAAACAGATATCTTTGAAATTACCAAGGAGAGCACCAAGGTATGCTGGCTATGGCTTTGTTACCTTCCCTGAGAAGCTTGGATATCAACCGTTTTGCCTTTTCAATTGTTAGTGAATTGTCACATGTCCTGGTCCAGTTTTCCTCAGCAGAGAGAGAGGGGGAAGGGATCTTCAGCCGGGTTATTCATACCATGCTGACGTCAGGTCCAGGGGCAGAACCTTTTTACTTTCGCTTCTGGTTTTGGGTTTTGCCATAAACGCGGCGAGCTTGCCTCTTGACCATTTAGCGGTATTTCTCTGTATATTGTTTGCCTTGTTCACTGTTATTGCTGTTTATTCTTGTCACCATTGATACTGTTGTTATTTAGATTGTTCTATCACTCTGTCTTAAATTTCTTGTTATTTTAGCCGGGGTCTGTGTCTAACTTCCAGCCCGACCGGCGCGGGTGGGGGTGGGGCAACAGCAACATGCTCTCAGATCCCGCAAGGCTTAAACCTGCACATTACACCTTGGTAATTGCGGATCAGGTTAAATTGGCAGTTTAAATCAAGTGAGTAGATTGATAGTCTGCTGAACTCCTTCTGGGAAGGCTCAAATTTATCAGGTGTTGATGACTACTTCTAAAAAAAGCTGTGTGAGAGTCACTGTACTGAAAAACTGTCAGTGAACATCTTGAGCACTGGATTTATAGAAGTTTAGAAAGGTTATGTGAGAGCATGGTGCTTGTGAAGAGCTAGAAAAAAATGGAATGGCAGCAAGATGGTGACAATAACTTGGCTTCTCACAGGGAGGTTGAAATCTGCAAAACATGCTTGTATTATTTGATTTCTTAACCCTGTTTTCCCTGGTGGGAGTGTTCTTACTAATGACTATTAAAACACCTTCAAAGTCTGAGTATGAAAGAAATTCCAGTTGAGTTATTTTGATCACTTCCTATTTTAATGAAGAATAGCCAAGCATGAGCTGGGTTGTGACAGCAAGCAGACTAAATTTCTTTTTTCCCTGCAGATAGCTCGTCTCTTGGCTGAACTGAAAACTATTCAGAGTCACTCAGAGTCTCAGAAAAGGTTAGTAAACATGTCCTGTCCTTAGTCATAGTGCTTAAGAAGCATGTCTTTTGACAGCAGCAGAAATAGTTTGAAAGAATTGAATACAAAACTCCTGGTGTGGGAAAATGGCAGTGGTACTGCAGTAGTTGAAAGCAGATTTTGAGGGGAAAAAAAAAAAAAAAGACTAAAGAGGGTAGTTTAAGATGTAGATAAGTGTAAACATAGGGAATGTGTGAGGAGTCTCAGGCCTTGAGGCCCAGAAGGACTCTTCTCCAAAACCAGAATTGGGAATAATTAGGTTGTGCTGAGAAATCTTTGCCCTCAGCTCTGCAACCCACCCCATCACCCTGAAAAAGTGGGGGGATAAAATATTGGTTAAAACTGAACCTGTTTGAGATAAAGGAGTGCACTGATTGAGGACTTAAGTGTTGCTGAAGTCCTGCAGCTCTCACTGTACAAGTTCTGCCTGGCTTTGCTCTGCACCAGACTGCAGTGTTAAAGGGTTTTCTGCTCGTTTTTGTAAAACAATGTAGAATGCACTTAGAGGTGTGTGGCTGCAAAGTACTTACACCTGTATTATGTTGGGGTGGCTTGGAAGGGGAAGTCCTGTTCCTGGGCAACACCAGAATTGCACTATATGTAGAAAGCCTTTTTTCCAAAAAGCATTCACACCAAAAGAATGGTAACACCAACATTACTTCTGTTCCCTACCGAAAAACTCTCAGATTGTTGCCTCCCAAACTGCTTAATCCAAAAAGTGTGGGGAGTGAGAGGCCCAGAGGAGTCCAAATTTGATGTTACTATTGATTCATTTTGCAGAAGTGTGATTGGTGGGTGGCAATGTAAAATCCAAAAGTAGAGGTGAAATTTTTTAAAGACTTGATTTGTCTCAAGTTTTTTGGGTATTAGCCTGCCACGGCAGGTTCTACCACTACAGCTACAGGTGAATCTGTTTCTGAACTGGGAAGAGGCTTGGTTGGAGTTTGCAGTGGGGAAGAGTGCCTGAATCACTGTCTTCTCCTGGGTGAGACTCTGCAATAACCAAACTGTCACAGTACCCACAGAACTTGTTCTAAACTCTCATTTCTCTCCAGTGTTGTCGTGTCTCAGTGGACGAGCATGTTGAAAGTTGTGGCTGTGCACCTCCAGCAACTAGGGCTGAAGTATGCAATAGTGGATGGCTCTGTCAACCCCAAACAGAGAATGGATGTGATAGAAGAGTTCAATACCAATCCCAAAGGGCCTCAGGTATGCAGTTGAGGCAGGGAAACAGTTACTACACAGCAGCTGTGATAGCTGACTGCAGGATTCTGTTTACTGGCACCACTTTCATTTTGGGCCTCTAGGTGTCCAGATCAGCAGGAAGAGAGGTAGTTGTAAATACAAATGTACTTCTTAAAATGGGTGGGAGCAGCTGCTGAAAACCTCCTTTTTGATGTTAACCTTCTGTACTGAGATCATCTGACTCCAAAGCTAGGTCAAAGTTTGTCCAAATCTTTGGTGTGTTCAAAGATGGTTTTAGCACAGTGTGATGTGGAAGGTGTGGGGCCAGTTAGCTCTACTCATAGCAGGTTGGTTGTGTCCAGCTTATCCTTCTGCACTGGAAGATGTTTGTTTCTGATGATCACTTGCTTGCCAAGGAGCCTGTAAGACTTTGTTGGTGTTTTTCAACACATCAGATACTTTTTACCAGATTAATCTTTTTGAGAGGGTGGCAGCTCAATCTGCAAATGAGGCCAAGATTAACAAAAGCTTATCTCACCCTGGTATAAAAACAGGAACACTGGGGTGAGAGAAGTCATAGTTTTGCATGCACCCAAAGTAAGATCACTTCATGTGGCTTTTTTTCCCCCTTTTGAGGTATTGGGGTTTGCAGTGAGGGATATTTATGTGTTTCAATACTGATAAACTACAGCATGTTGACTCTTGAAAATAGTTTCTAGTCTGAAATTTTGGCCAAGGGAAGGAAGTTTGCCAGGTGACTAAAGACATCTGAATCCAAATTAATTATTGTGATTACACTTTCATCTGGACACTTCCTGTGATTGAGGCAGGACAGGCTGTCTCCTCTGAGGATGGATCTGTGACTGGAAGGGGAGAATGTGGTGCATTAGCTTGTTTTCTTTGCTGGATTACTTGAACAATTTGCTATCAATTAAAATAGATATTTCTCCTTCTCACTTTGAATTTAAAGGAAGTTTTCTGCCAACTATGTGAATAGTTGATGCCTTAAACAAGGATGGGGTTTGAAGTTACCATATCACAAAATTGTGTAATAAATAATATATAGCGGGTGTCTTTGTCCTTAACTTCTTTTCCTGCTGTACAAGAAATCTCTAAATTGACCACTTTCTATATCCCTGTTCCTCCCCAGCTACTAATCTTTTTTTGAAATACTAGGTTATGTGGAAACAAAGTGAAAGAAGTAGCAGGCCATTTCAGTCCAGGTGCCTGTGTTTAATTGTTATTGTTAATTTAGAGCTGGTGCTGATTGGTCCCACTGTTGGCAGCAGGCTGTCATCAGAGAGGCTGGTTGCTAGAGAGAGTCTGATCTATTCAGTCCTTACTTTAATTTACAAAAATGTATCAGGGTGATATATATGGAATGGTAGGCTGGTCTCTGAGCTGTAACTTCTGTGTCCAGGCTGCATCTGATAACATCTGGCAAGCTCCCAAATACATAATAAAAATACACATGTAATATAAATATGATAAGCAGATCTTTTGGTTCAAATCAGTATGTTAAGTGTATGAAGCATTAATTTTCTGGAAATAGGCTCCTTAACTCTCTTTTGCCCTTTCCAGGTAATGTTGGTCTCCTTGCTGGCTGGAGGCATTGGTCTAAACTTGACTGGAGGAAACCATCTCTTTCTCCTTGACATGCACTGGTAAAGAGAAACAACAGTTCCATCTTGGAGGATATATGTAGGGCACACTGCTTGCTTTCTCCCCACATGTAGTGTGATGTCTGATACAACTGGGTTAGTTGGGGAGTTTTTAAGGGCTACTGATTAATTGTGGAAAAGTAGTGTTTTGCTGCAGACTTCTTCCAAGACACTCTGATTTGTTAGTCCAGTGCTCACTGCCATGAAATACAGTTCTGTGTAGGGGTTTTAAAAAAAAAAAAAAAAGAGAGAGAGAACAGCAATGTAAAGAAGCAAGTATGCAGTCTGTGTCACAAAAGGATATGGGGGACTTGGCATTTCTTGGCTTAATGTCTTTCAGTAACAAAATGGTACAGTAATGCCTGCAGGTATTTTGTCTTGAAACAAATCAATTGTGTTGAGCATAGTCAGTAATTGGGCATAGCGAGTGTACCTTGGGGATTTACAGGGCTGTGAAAATAGTGCTTATGAGCTCCCAATATTTATGTTGTCTCTCATCAGTCAGAATCACTATATTTTTAACTAAATGTTGCTCATGGGAACTTAGAAAGCAAACTAATGTGCTTCAGTGCCAAACAGCTGCTGAGTAGCAGCAATAAGGAGATGGTTCTACAATATGGAAGTTACACCAAGTATTCCCTGTAACCATGTGTCAAATGCAACCATTTCTTATGTAAATATTCTTGATCGAGGCCTCTTTCAGTGGAGTTTGCATTCCTGCTTTGCTCTCCTCTTTCCTCACCAGCTACTCTGAGTACTGACTGTTGGCCAGAAATATGGGGCTAAGTGGAACAGTGGTCTGACTCCCACAGCTGACTTTGTGTGGAGTTGTAGCATACTTCTACCAAGGGAACTACAGTCAGGGCGAGTATTTGCCATCAAGCAGTAAACCTGAGGTAACCTGGGAGCAGTTTTAGTTCTATGGAGGAAAAAAATAGGATGCTCTGGAGGAAGGCAGATGTGTCAAGCACAGAGGCTTTGATATTTCAACTATTCCTGAACATAAGCTCTTGGTTTTTTTACCTTGCAGGAATCCTGCTCTTGAGGACCAGGCATGTGACCGCATTTACCGAGTGGGGCAGCAGAAGGATGTTGTGATACACAGGTCAGGGTTTTCCTTAGCAGTAAATGAGGCTGTTGCTCCCCATGTACTGTCTGGCTTTAGTTGATGAGACAAGGTCTTGGTCTGAGGCTTGTTTCTTCACTTCAAGCTAGGTACAAGGTCTGACAGTGGGATTGGGGTTTGGGCACTAAGATAGAGACCACATGGAAACGTTTCTGTGGGGCACTTCCCTGCATGTTGCTGTCCTGATAGCTAGCAGTGGTTTGTTGTTTTTCAGCCTGTGGCTTAGTGGGAATGTCCTGTTCATTCCTGAAAAGAATTCAGGCACCAAACCATTTATCTTCCCTTACTGAGTGGAGATTTTTCACCATGCTCCCTAAGCTTGGGTCTTTCTAGTATCATTAACATAAATATATAGAGCACTTCTAGTAAATGGCAAAGTTGGCTTTTACAAAAAGCATATGTAATTTTAAGTACTAAAAGGCTAGCTTAGTTATTGTAAATGCACAGCAAATTCAAAGGAACTGGAATCTAAAATATTATTTTGTGTATGAGGCTTTTAGTATAATAGGTGCCATCAGCTGGCAAAAAATCATTACAGGATTTTGTCACAGAATTACTATTGCTTCAGATAACCAAAGTTGAGGCCTAAAGTACATCAGACTTTTATTTGAAATGTTACAATATCTGGCTATGAGAACAGCTGTTTTCTGTGCACAGATGTATTTTGTCAGTCACGTAACAGGCTGTTCATTTTTAAGTGAGACAAGCCTTTGGAAATTTAGTGGGGAAGAGCTTATATAATGCTGACACTTTTTCCTCACAGTTGAGATGATGTGGCTTTGTTGTGTTTTTGGTTTTTTTTTTTTAGGTTTGTCTGTGAAGGAACAGTAGAAGAAAAGATTGTACAACTCCAGAAGAAGAAGAAAGTTCTTGCCCAGCAGGTGCTGTCAGGCAAAGGGGAGGCCTTCACTAAGCTCACTCTGGCTGACCTCAAAATTCTCTTTGGTATCTAATTATTGTTTACAATACACATTGGAAATTGATTGTTGTTGTTTTTTTAATACCTACATGCGGCGGGTGGAGGAAGCAAGCAGCTGATTCAATGTGAATGATAGAGCAAGCTTCAACTTTATTGAGAGAAATCACACCTTATATAAGCAATCTACAATACACTACTTGTAACTCTATTGGATACATTTAAGAAACTACATTATAATTTCTCAGCCATTGGGTACATTTAAAAGATCGCATTATAATACCCCAGCCCCCTGTGGCATTTCTGGTATGCATAAACATTTCCTCCCAGGGCTGTTTTCCATCACCCCCAAGGTCATAATGCGCCCCCAACTTATCTCTGTGTTCTCACAACAATCCTTGCTAGCACAACTGAGCCCTGGGTCTTCATCCTTGTTTACATAACTGTACCCTGGGTTCTTTCCTTTGTTTACCTCAGGTGGCTGGGACCAACTTCTGCAGGGAGCTATGGCCGACCAGCTCCTGCAGGGAGCTATGGCCTTGTTCTGCTAGCCGTTCTCCAACACATACAAGTAACTGTGCAGCCTGCAACAAAGGATTGCTGTTTTAAAGCAGTTGCTTATTTTGAACAAATAACTACATTTTTTGTAACTGTTCCAGGAAGAGAAGTTATCAACTTCAGGAATTTGTTTTAATACTGAAATTAGATTATGTATCCAAAAGTTAATAAATTAAGCTACTGCTTTAAAACACTTTTGAGTAAATATTAAAAAGAAACATTTGCTTTTTTCTTGGTTTCCTATGTATGCTTTTTAGTTAAACTTTTCTCTTCAGGAGAGGCACAGGCATAAGTGGAACAAGAACAAGAGAGACAAGTGTGAGGTAGGAAAGTTCAGAGGTTGAGTGGTGACGTTGGGTGGGCATGAAGGAAGCAAAATAAAATGTTCAGCACGATGCCATAAGACTACTATATAGACTTTAGAATATATAAGTAACAAATATATATGTGTAAAATACTAAAATTATATAATTATTTATATATTTATAATTAACATAAATATATATGTGATTATATATTTATAATTATTTTATATATTTATAAGTAAATATATATATATATATATATAAATAAAAAACCTTCCTTAAGGAAGGACTCAGAGGAATACTTCATTTTCTCTTTTGTTCTATAGGAAGACTTTTTATATCTAAGTGTAGAAGCATTTTCTATCCTATTCAAAAATAATTATTCAAGCAGGAACACAGACTTCTGTAATGTTTCTATGAAACAGAACCTGAATTCCTGATCGTTGTGGGTGTTTTCTTCTGAGTATTAAGTAGTGTAAGGTTTCCTTGGTGCAAACCTTTTAACATCTAGACTGTTCTTCCTTAGAAGATGCTCCCATTTTTTAAGTAGATGAGTTGCAAGCCCTCGATTAATGGTTTGTATTTTTTTTCCTATCAGAAATGGTATGTGCAGGTGAGTGCAGTTTCTTAGGCAATTTTTTTTTTTTTTTTTTTTTTTTAGTGCATCTTCCCTGCTTCCATTTCCCTCTGCTGTGTCCCTGGCCACATCCACTGCATATTCTGATCTTCTGTTGATAAGAGTTTATTTATAATGCCAAGTAGTAGAACAGGACAGGGTAAGAGTGCTGATAAGAAAGTAGATGTTGGTTTCTATATGGTCATTCCCCGTGGAATAAGATAACAGCATCTGGCAGCCTTCTGGGTGAAGGAGAGCTCTGTTTGAGGGAGCAGTGGTTCCTGGTAGTACAACAGTGGGTGAATGTCTGTGCTGGTCATGGCTCCTACCTGCCTTCACACGATGTGCAAGTGAATCTGGGGATTATTGCAATTTATTGCACAGATATAGGGGCTAGAGGGCACTAAACCAGTAACTTGTATTTTTTGTGTGCATATGTCCAGAAATTCAACCATGGTGGAAGTGTCTTGAGCAGCTCTCAGAACCAAGGAAAGCTGTGCAATTTGGGCAGTTTAACCATAATCCCAGTTTGGGGAACACAGCACACTGCTCCTTGCTTTTCTATGCTGGTTTTCTGGAAAACGTCTGTTCACTTCCATAAAACGGGAAGCCACGGACTAACTTTCCAGAATTATTTTGGTTTGGATGTTTACAAGAGCAGAATTTGGGTTGCAGTTTCTTTTCTGGAGTTCATGTGCACTCTGGTCTGAGCTCCTCTCCCTTTCCTTGGAGCTATTGTTAGCCTAGCAGGTTTGCTTTTCAGGTGTATTACTAAATAGAGATTAAATTCTGTCTCTCCTCCTTTGGCTGAGTGTAGGCTCAGTGCAGTATAACTGTTGGGTGTGATGCCTGCAAGTTGAGGCCTGTCACAATTAGTGATGAGAAGTGTTCCAGTATACCTTCTGTTGTCATATTGTACCCAGTGGTGCATACCTGTAAGTCTCAGAGGGGGAAATATTAAGAAGCTCTTTTACCAAACAGTGTTCAACTCTGTATTTAACAAGGCCTGAGTGATTAAAATGTGTGGAGATGATATCCTAAC